ATGAAAGTCGAAATATTTTCTATCTATAATTCTTCTCGTCATTTTTTGGAAAAAGTTTATCTAAAGCCGAGGTTCTAAACAATCACTAGAAGAGGTTGTTTTTATGCTCAAATATCCTCAAATTGATCATCTCGACATCAAGATGCATGGACATAAGAAAAAAATGAATTTCAAGTTTTGGAAATAGTATATCTTGTAATGTATTTTTGGACAATACGTTTTCAAGCTTTCATAGATCTGCTCAATCTACACTATTTTTAAAGCTTTAAATTTTATAATGAAAGATAAAAATATATTTTAAAGCTATCACAAAGATTTCTAGTATTAAAACGGCATTTCTCAAAACTATTTGGAGGTGTGCTTTATTTTGCTTAGTGCCTCGGCTCTATACAAACCGCACCCTTCATTAAATACATAAATTTCTTCTCTATCTTGAAAAGATGAATACTTCGTATAGAAATAGAAAAATACTCCACAAAGTTGACCCTAAGCCCCTCTATTTGTTGGACCCTTACAATGTATTCTCTCTACTATAAGATCCCCTTTTATTATCGACGCTTGTTGACTACTTAATACATAAGAATAGACTCAAAACAGAAGTGGTTAGGGTTGTGAATATGATCGTTTGAGTTCCTTTCCTATCACGATAAGAAACTCCTCGAAACTCCTTTCCCCACTTACCTGCGCAAGAAAAACTACTTAACATATAGAAAAAGTTTATATAAGGCTGCGACTTTAAAATGTAGAAATACGGATGCACCTCAAAAATCCATTGGAGAAGGTTGTCTTAACATTGAAAACCCCTCTAGTTGTTTATCTCAACATAAATATGTATGAATATTACCAAAAAAAAAAAAGATTTTGAGTCCCGAAAATGCATCTTACAACACATTATCTAGATCATCCATTTCAAGATTTTCATATGTTTATAGATTTACTTGATTTTGACAATTTTTGGAGCTTAAAATTTTATAATTACATATAAAAATAGATTTTTAGATAATCCTAATAATTTTTTACACCAAAATTATATGTTATGATAAAATTTGGAGGTACGCCTTAATTGGATTGTTTAAGTTTGCAATCTTACAAAAACCACACCCTATATAATATCCTATAAATATGAAGTATTTATATATGAAATTGTTATTTATCTTTAATACAAAGTGGTCACAATTCCTTATATAACCATTTGATGTGAAACTTGATAATTTGGATGTGCCACGAAGTTCAAGAAAATTTCTTTTGAAGTTTGAGCTTAGTCAATGGAATAATTGCAACCACCCAACTTCACACTCAATGGTCAAGATCAGTGTTTGAAAACTCGCCAAGTCGAACCGGACTTGCCCGATTCAACTCGAGAATCGTCTGCTACCGAGCCGGTTCCACAAAAAAACCGGGAATCGCCCGTGTCTAGAGAGAACCGGGTGATTCTGAATAGTGAATCACGATTCTCAACAAAAAAACCCATATTTTTTGACATGTGGCCACCTCACGAGAGTGACATGTGGTCACACGTGGTAACTCGCCACACGTGGTAACTCACCTCACGTTTGCCTCTCTCGCGTTTCTACACGCGCAAGTGAGTGTCAATGACACATGACTTTATAGAGAACCAAGCAACACTCATCTTTTGATGTGGGATAATTCTCACAAGAAATTATTAAAGAAAGATGATAGAATATATATTATTATAGACGCTACTAGAATCACATGTGGCGACGTGGCCGTGTTGGTTGACAACACTGATTTTGAGGTGTATGTCTAGAGTTCGAACCCTATAGCGAACATCACAAAATATTTTGAGTTTGAACCCCTCAGCGCACGACAAAATTTTTTTTTTTTGGAGTTTGAACCCCTTAGCGCACAACAAAGATACAAAGAAATTTTTGTTGTCAAAAAAAATAAATAAAGGTAGAGTTGTAAAAAAATAGAAAAAATATAAAATAAAAGGCTTTTCAAGATAAAGATAAAAAAGATAATACAACATTTTTTTATTTCTTTTGTAAAAAAAATACAATTTGTTGTCAAAAAAATAAACAAAAGTAGAAAATACTGTTGTAAAAAAATAGAAATAATATAAAATAAAAGGCTTTTCATGATAAAGATAATACAATATTTTTTTATTTTTCTTGTAAAAAAAATACAAGGTAATATAATAAGTATTTCTTGCAAAAAAAATAAAGCAAAAGGCATAAAAAAATAAAATGTACTTTGGCAGCATTATTTTTTTATTTTTCTTGTAAAATAAATAAATAGTACAACAAGCAAAAAAACTATAGTACAACATCTTTTTCTTTTGTCAAAAAAAAACAAAGATAATCAACAAGTATCATATTTTTCTTGTAAAAAAAAATAAAAAATAACACAATAAGTATTTCTTGTCAAAAAAATAAAAGGTATTTCTTCATACAACCTAGGAATAAATGATCTAATTATATTTTTTATTTTATAACATGATGGTCTTTAACATATATTTAGTAATATTAATTTAAAGATAGCATTCATACAATGAGGCCAATTGAAATCTCTCTCTTTCTACTAACAATCTCTTCCACTAATTTATTCTAGAAACCTAAAAAATTTAAAAAAATTGGTACGCATTCTAATAATTTCTACATGGATAACCAAATCTTTTATTTTATTTATTAAGTTTTGTATTATAAATCATGTAGTCTCTATTTTCTTTACAGTTGTCATAATACATTTTACATTAGATGATATTATAAAATATTTTGGA